TGAAAAATGAGATAATTTAAAGCCCATTATTATTATAGCTGGCCAATTTAAATGATGAAAAAACACTAGTAATTCAATATGAGAAAAAAATGCTGTCAATTCAATATTGATGCAGTGTTTTTTTTAAATTACGATCATAATTTAATTACAATCTCCTTTCTAGACAGTTCATAATAGAGTTTTATTATCCTGAAGAATCTAAGTTATCAATTATTAGAGTAGAAAATAGTGATTTTAACTTCTTAATTTCCCCTACTTGGCTCTGATCCCATACTTTCAAAATCATTAAGCATATAAATAATTAAATCAGGGGCTTGTTCAACAATTGCATCTGCATGCAAAAGTTGTTTTATGGGAGTAATGAGTGTTTAATGAGTGCGTTTGTGACATTTATTTTTACATTTTTAGTCTTCATGAAAATTCATGAACATTCATTACCTTGAACTATTAAGTTTTTTTTCTTTAAATTGAAAATTACCAATATTCATATTTGTTCATCATTTGTTCATGAACTATGAATTATGAATGTTTTCATGAATTTTATTCATGAACTACTTTCATGAACCTGTTAAGAATCCTTTCAGAACCATTCATGAACAATTATGAACAACTCATAAAGGTTCTTAAAATCATGAATATCATTTAGCAGGGGATAGGAAAAATCCTAAATAATTTTTTATATCTTAAAAGATAACAAAACCATGATTTAACATAGTGATATGGAAACACCCTCTGATGATTGGTCATAGTGATATGGAAGCATCCTCTGAATGGTAGGATACAAATTTGTTCAAATTATGACCTTCAAGGGCAGGGACAAAACAGCAATGCTAGAATGTTTTTATAGTTATTTGGAAGCATCCTCTTGTATACTGAAGATTCAGGTTTGTTCAATTTATAACCCCTGGGGCAAGGATGGGGCAGTTATGAAAGATCAAAGTAAAATTAAATAGAAAAAAAAATATTCATAAAGCTTCTTCTTGAAAACAGCAAATCTGTGTTTAGTCCCAGTTATATAGAAGCATTCTCAAGCATTATAGATTCAAGTGTTTTTTTTTAAATCATTACCCCTACGGATAGAGTGAGGCCAAAATGGGGTATCAAAGTTTAACATAAGAATATATAGGAAATATGATGAATATTAAAAAAACATTATTGATAATCAATTTGAAAACATCATTAAAGGGGATCGTAACAATAAACAATAAAGTCATTGTGTCTGAAATAAATTGAAATGAAAGAAATTTTCGGAAGTGCAGATTTAAGCTTGTTAAACCCCTCCCCTCCTCCACTGATCCCACTTTTATCATTTAACTTTTCAATACTGAACTGATTTTTGCTTTTTAGTACAAGTAGCTAGTTGCTAAGGTGAGCAACGTGGCCCCTGGTCCTGTTGATTTTTCAAGTAATAAACAGGACGATGTACATGCACATTGATTTTTTTCAAGCCCAATTAAGAAAATCAATAATTTTGATTTGAGTTTTGGATAATTTGAAGGAACATGTAAAACGTTACAATAGAAATAAAATAATTGAATAATGGGCACGTACATATACACTCATACATATCCTTGTACTGTATGTTGAGATGAAATTATGCAATTGATCAAAGACTAGTTATTTTTCTTTTCTCCCCTTTTTTTCAGTAAACATTGTATCGTCAGTTATTATCTTCTTGTTCTTCTCGCATTGACTGATATATTTATCGATTTATATTTATCAATGGACTTTAAATACTGATATTAAAAATAAATACTAGGTTAATATTCATGTAACAATCTCCCTGGAAAATTGAAATATATAATTTATTAATGTGGAATGCCTTGCCAACTTTTTATTCGATTGATTTTTTTGTGTCACTCTTTGTAAACAATGGTTTCAGCATTGAAAGACCGATATTAGCACTTAATTATTTTATATTAATTTATTTTTTTTTTAAGAAAATAAAAAAAAAATATTAATGAGAAAATAAGTTGTGTTCAAGTTAGAATGTTGCTGTTAATGAATGCATAATATGAATATCTGATACAATATGTGCAGAAAGGCTAGTAAGACTTTTTAATCTTTTTTTTTTAATAAAAAATTATTTATGAAAATAAAACACATTTATTTGTGAATATTTTCTAGACCTATGATTAAAAACACCATAAAACTTGTCACAACTGAGGAGAACATGTTTGTTAATCATATTTTAAACAGAAATTGAAACGAAATTGAAAAAAAAAAATAGAGAAATTATTTTTTTAAAATATTTTGTCCTAACCCGATCAAAATTAGACTGATCCCGATCAACATTAACACAGAGTGAATAAACTACTAATTTATTGCCTCATCATGCATTTACAATGAATAAATCTATTTTATTGTCAAGTTCAATAATGTTTTGACCCTTAATACACCTAATCAGACTAGTGTCCTTTGGGAAAAGTTATTTATTTCAAATATTTGTACAATCATGGCTGGGATCGGTTTAATTTGTTCGGGAATGGCAAAAATTTAAAAAAACAATTCTCTAACACTTGACTATTTTGTTTCAATTTCAAATGCGCTAATGCATGTTGGTATTTTTGTCCTTTTCAAAAGTATTATTATTTATTTTCTTTTAATATTTTATAGTACAGACTTAACATTAACAATTGATCTGAATGGAGGCATATCCTTGCTCCGACCAAGGTCAAGCAATGTAAAAAACTTTCCCTTTGTTGACGATAGAAAAGTTAGAGTACCACGTTTATCATAGAGCTTTTTCAAATAAAACATCCAGATATAAAACAGATGTGTCTATCTCTGTGGTATCTTTTATCTCAAGCTCACCGGGATATATCGTATCCATATATGAATGGAAATCACCATTGTTTATTAATAGTACGTCGTCAATATATCAATAAATGTCGAGTTGAAGGCCACAGAAAGTGTTTCCTTCTTTACACCCATAAAACTTTGCACAAATTTGTCTTCATATGAAATAAAAATAGGTCTTCTAATAACGGAGCGCAATAGGTACCCATGGGAATGCCCATAAATTTTTTGAAGACCTGGTCTCTAAAAACAACATACTAAATATTTTCAATCAGAAACTTAAGTATCTTTTTCTTGTCGACCTCAGAGTATTTGTGTGTAAAATCAGAATGATTTTAACAAAATGACCAGTGGAGAGTTAAGAAAATTTACGAGTTACCTTTTTATTGAAAAAACAGCTGTCAATGATATCGAGAAGCCTGGATTTTAATTTATCTTGAGTGATGGTTTTGTATAAAGTTGATGAGTCGTACATTTTTAAGCTCTTGATTTTGGTATGATCTCGTGATTTAAAATTGTCCAAAAGTTTATTGATTTTTTTAAGTATCCACATCTGATTGTTTTATGGACTTTGATATTGAATACTGATCATTATTTCCATACCCTTCTTACATCACTTCTTTAAAATATTGTTGGACTGTACTCTTGAAGTTTCTCCTTCACTACTGTTTATATCTAAATGAAAATTTAGTCTGAAGCATCCGGTTTCCTAAGAAGTGTGAACTTAAATTCATATCAGTATGTAATACACATGGTACTTGTTCCTGTATATAAAGACTTTTTATTAGAAATACATTAAAAAGCCGAACTAAATTTTGAAAAGAGAAAATCTGTGTAAACTGCCATCGATTCACCAACTGATCATATTCTCCGTCATTATCAAAATGATCTTTTCGGTCATCAGTCTTCTTGTAACGCTTAGTTTTACAGAGGCACAACCCTTATATTCAGATTCAATGGATGACTACAAGATTGAAAAGAAGTGGCGCAAATTACAAACAGATATGGAAATTCATATCACAAGGACAGTAAAGCAGGAAATTACTAACAAAAAAGGTAAACAATGATGTTTATAGCTTAAAAAAGAAAAACCTTCAAGAATTATTTTTTAAAAGTAATCATATTAATGTATACCTTTTGTCCAATTGAAGTGTACTTGGATAGTGCATCCCATTTTATCTGTTATCATTATAGATTTTAACCATTGACAATAGACAGTAGACATTAAAGATATTTAAGGATTAAAATTTGTTGATTTTCAGGAAATTTCCAAGACAACTCTTTATTAGATATTTTTTTCACACATATATGAGCCGTTCCAAGCAAAAACCCCCCTTATGTAATCTGACAAAATTTTACGTCACAATACAAAAAGCGACGTCATTGTTTTGCAACAAAAACTGCGTTCAAAATATATCGCGCACTGACTGCGTTCCAACTATATGCTTTGTTTTACGTCACATAATTTTCTCCCTTGTGCTTTTTGCATATTTTTTTCATGACTTTTGTCTATTTCATAACATATCTGACTCTGATTGTTGTCAAATTAACTACATGTGCATTACACATTTAAACGACCTAAGAGTGTTCTGATTAAATACATAAAACTTGTCTACACTTTGACAATTATTCTGTTCCATGTACAATATAAGTTTTCAGTTAAACTAAATAAAACATGGAACTGTCGTTTAAAAGTCAGATTTACGACTCTTTCTTATTCAACAATGACAAAAAATAATTACATGAAATGATGATATTTAGTGTAAAAATATTTTTAAAACGGAAGGAAGAGTAGTTTGAAATATGTTTTTTTATTTAAAATCGGAAGTCTTGGCGAAAATTGTTTGGACTTAATCACATGTCAAGAAAACGGCACGGGAATTAACACCAATCAAAACTGAATGACAGAATTGTTAAACCACACCAATGCCAGATCTAAATTCGGGGTATTTTTTTCATTTATTGTAGACCCAAAACCTCTTGGAAGAAAAGTGACAATTAGTTCAGCTAACAAAGCTACATTACTTGAAAAGACCTATATTCGACATTCTCCTTTTTTGTTTTGTGTTGAAAAGATCGATAACTTGTTAATACCGTTGTAACACCCCCCTTCCCACCACCACCACCAAAAAATTATAAGGATATAATTATGTAATAAAGCATATATAGAAATAAATACATACATGTATCTTTTTACAAATTTTTGGAAGTTCTGAAAAATACCGTATTTGACACGCATGCACACCTATATTATTCATCTAATTGCTAGTCAAGTTATTCTACCCCCCCCCCCAGCATCATTGCATGCTGATGTTAACAGTGAAAATTTACATTAAAAAAAAATGCGGAGAAGGGCCCCCATGCAACCCCCGGATTTTTTTTATGTGCTTGATTGTAAGCACATTATTTGTTCACCTGATTGTAAATAGAGTCCAAAAAAAAAAAAATACATTTCCAAAATATTTTTATCAGTTTGGATTTTCTCGATCTACTTTTCGTCTAACGTATACTAGGAAGAAGTATTATAAATATTCGTAATTTTCACCAGGAAGATTACATGCAGGTGAACATAACCTGATTTTTTTTTCCCCATTGCTAGACCTATGAAAATCAGAAAACTAAGAGTATTTATCATTATTAACACTTTTGTCGAATTATTTGAAAAACGATCTGACATGTTTTTTAAACGCATGTTCATGGGAAAATATTTAAACGCTATCATTTTTAGTGCAACTCTTTGACATTGTAGATGCAAATGTGGAAAAAATAAAATGAGAAATAATAGTGAAGTTTATTTTATCAATATATTGAAATCCTATCAGGAGACAATAGAATGATGGAAATCGTTGTATAAAAATGCAATTTTAATTTGCTGTTCAAATTATTATCCTTAAACAACGTTTGCAATGATACAGAATTTTAGTTTAAACAAATCATTGAATGAATACGGAAGCCCGTTGGTGCCACGTACGAAAAATATTTTATCTGGCGGCCGCCACTTGTATATCTGGCGGCCGCCAGATAATTATGTGGCGGTCGCCACTTATTATTTGGCGGCCGCCACTTATATATCTGGCGGCCGCCACTTAATATATGGCGGCCGCCACGTAGTTTTTATGGCGGCCGCTATATAATATCTGGCGGCCGCCACATAATTTATCTGGCGGCCGCTATATAACATCTGGCGGCCGCCACGTATTATTTGGCTGCCGCCACATGATTTATCTGGCGGCCGCCACTTATATATCTGGCGGCCGCCACATAATATTTGGCGGCCGCCTGATAACACTTGGCTTCCTGAATCGCGCGCATGTTTTAATATGTGGTTTAAGAGGTGGATACAGTGTAAAAATTATAATAGCAACATCAATCATCCAAACTTGTAAGAGATTTATTATGAACCAACACTCCAATCCACACTTCTAATAGATATGTTTTTTGCATAGAGCAGATTAATATTTGATTTGAATTATGCAAGTATTTGTAGAGTGTTTCGATTATTAAGAAGCCTCATCAGGGGTCACGGACATAAATCATGGTGTTTGCTGTAAGCTATGATTGGTTGAGAATTAAATAAAGTTTTGCATTTTGGATTTCCAAGAATGGTGTTCCAATACTTCAGAATTCGTTTTTTATCATTTACTTTTATCAATAAGCAGCGGTTGTGTCAACATCCATCTTCTTAACCCAATAACACTCACCTTTTGCAAAATAATTTATGTGGCGGCCGCCAGATATTTAAGTGGCGGCCGCCAAATAATAAATGGCGGCCGCCAGATATTAAGTGGCGGCCGACAGATACATAAGTGGCGGCCGCCAAATAATAAGTGGCGGCCGCCAGATATATATGTGGCGGCCGCCAAATAATAAGTAGCGGCCGCCAGATATTTAAGTGGCGGCCGCCAGATATTAAGTGGCGGCCGCCAGATACATAAGTGGCGGCCGCCAAATAATAAGTGGCGGCCGCCAGATATATATGTGGCGGCCGCCAGATTAAATATTTTTCATACATGGCACCAACGGGCTTCCGTAAATGAATGATGTTGACAACACAAAGTATACATAATTATGTTTGTCTGAAAAGCTCCTTTTTTTTGCATGTTGTTTAGATAGGCCTATATCTCATTACTTTGCTATGGCTTTCCATGTTTTTGAGCGGTCACCATCCAATGGTTAAACAGGCTGGACGCGTTGCGTAACTTGCCTGAAATAGAGAGACTCTACCGCATCACTAGAAAAACTAGCTCAATAGCGAGGCAGTATAAGTTCCCTATATACTGTCAAACACAAAAGTCGGATATATCTTGTATAAAAAAGGTTTGTAGATAACTTCGGAAATATCTTGTATAAACAAAGGTTCTAATTAACTTGTGAAACTTCGATGTTTAAATTTAAATATATTGATTGTTTGTATGTTGTTAAACGTCCATCTCGAGAATTTTTAACTCATAAATATGGAGACGCCACCACTTGCCGATGGAGAGCTGCAAATATTGTCTTATAACCGGCAATCAGGTCCTTTGAGCAGTGAGGGATCTTTTTCGTGCCAGCACTAACTACGACACGGGACCGCGGTTTATACAGACTCATCCGAAGGACCGGTCTCCATGTAAATTTAACTAGAAGACTAATGTTTGATGTTAATGAAAGGACAGAGAATGGCCAGCATTCCTCCCCCTTCTGCACACAATGGAACTTCTTTATACGTGTATGTGTGTAAAATGTTGGGTAGACTGGGATAGAATATATTTTACTAAATTATTATATGAGAAGCATTTTATTCGAAAGACAGTCCAATGTGCAGAGTTTGCACGTAAAACATGTTCTCTTTTCTATAAAATTTCTTTATGTGTTTTTTTTTTTCTATGTAGACGGTAATCAAATATTGTACATTTGTGTCGAGGACTTAAAAAGCTGCCCTGAATAGACCCCTGACTTACACATTTTTCTTAGTCTCTAAAATATTTTTTTAGCTTTTGACTAACTGGTACATTTTCAGAGTACCTTCATGATATGTTATAAGTGTTGACCTGTGAAACTTGTCTCATAACAACCTGTTGTTTAAAAAAAAAAAAAAACTGTGACATGTATGTTTTTTAAACCTCATACGGATCGTATAACTAACTTAAATATTGAGAAAGTATGTCTAACTTTCACAGGTCGAGACCACTAGATTTTCTGACGTCAGAATAAATTTGCATGTAAATTAGCTATATGTTTACTTTACACACTGATGAATGCGCAATTCATTATGGGCTACTACAAGTACTCAGCTGTGTTGAAAATAAAGGGTAACTTGAATTGTCCCTTGGAAACTTATTTTCAATTCTTTTTTGAGATTTGTTGAAGAAATATTTAAAATAATGTATAATCTTTCATTTCTATGCTCACATTTACAAAATTTGCTTTATGAAGCCTTATATCAACTTATAAAACATCGGCCTTAACCATGATTGTTCAAAGAGACGTAGACCTGTGCTACATGTATCGTGTCGATAAAACATTGAGTTTGTTTTCAAGAGATATACGTGTACATAGTTTTAGCAGGTAGTATATAGGTCCTTGTATTTAGACAGCAGGAGAAGGTGTCTAATTATTATTTAACCCCTCAATATTATTTTATGACGTCAAAGCGTCTGTACGGTATTCGAAGCAACTATTAATCATCTAAAACAACTCCAATATTAAATGTGAGCATGGAGCAATGTCTTTACAATATAATCTTTCAATTTTGGTCTTATAAAGTGATAAAGAAGCTCTACAGATTTTCCGGTGACGAGTTAAATAATGTGTAGTAAACCGACGAAAACCACGTGTAGCCATTGAATCGTAAACACGTAGTAGAGTGTCATGCTTTGGGACTCATTCACTTGATTGGAGAACGGGTGTGACGAAGACATCGTCACGTGTTGAAAATTGCCTTCCATATAAGGTAGTGATCTCGACCTGTTTCATTTTCATAGATATATTCGTAAAGCACAAGAGGATCGACTCTCACAATTTTGTTGTTAGATATAGATTGGGCTGTATGTTTGGCAATCTTCTATATATTAATT